GCTGCCGCCGGCGTCGCCGGCATCAGTCGAGGCGTGGTTGAGGCAGCCGCGGGAGGCTCGACGCACCCCTTCTTTCCGCGCTGGCCGCCCCAGAGGGTCCACCCAACGCCCACCGTCTGGGAAGAGAGCGTTGCCATTCCGTGTTGTTGGCCCTTTGGCCTTAGACCAGAGGAGTGTGAATCATGTGCGTCGAACGCGTAGACATGCATGCGCGAGTGAGGTGGGCGCAAAAGGTGGCTCTCCAACGTGCGTCTCAGCGTGTTTTCTTTCGTGAAACTACATCTTCGAGGGTGGTTCGGCGCCAAAGAGGGGGACTCGAACATGCGAAACAACTTTTGTATGGTCGCTTGTAAAGTCCCCCCTGGTTTCGACCGGGGGGCTTCCCTAAAATGGTTCCCGGCTCCGAACCCCTGGGAGGGGGGGCCGAGAACCGACGAGTACCCCCGTGGGAAAGGGCCCGTGGAAACCGTGGGTACCCCCCGCCAGGGGTGGGCCTAGAAACCAGCAGTTGCCGCTTCCCCCCAGGGGGGAGCGGCAAGAAGGGAGCGGAAGCCCCTCCCCGCAGAAAGGGCCCCCTCCCTTTCTTGGCGGCGGCGGCAACAGCTGCGGCGACAGCGACCACGATGGCGACACGGGGCCAGCACGCGCGAACGAGGACCACGACCATGGCGTCGTCGACGGGCGACGGCGACGATATGGCGACGGCGACGGCGACGGCGACGGCGACGGCGACGGCGACGGCGACGACGACGACGACGACGACGACGACGACGTGGACGACGACGAGGAGGACGACCCGCTCGATGGGGACGCCCCATCATTGAGCGAATGGCTCTTCAATGTCCCGCCTGCCCGTACGACATCTTCGGCGGCTGTGATCGATTTCCCCTTAATTGTCTCATCTGACACACCGAATGTTGCATATAATGTCCCGGCCGCCCATTTGGATGGCCCATCATTGACTACAGGTTTCATTCAATGTCCCTCCCGACTGTCCTGCGACTTTCGCGGTTGTGATGTATTTTCCCACGACGCTCCCCCAGCACAGAGTGAGGGTTGCATTTTTACGTCCCGCACACCAGACATGGAAACCACATCACTAAATTCATGGTTCCTGCAAAGTCCTGCCCGCCCGACCGGCATTTTCGGTGGTGCTGATCGATTCCCATTTAATTGTTTCATTTCACACTGTGAAGGTTGCATCGAATGTCCCGCAAGCCCAATTTTGGCGCCCCATCACTGATTATAAGTTTCATGTACTGTTCCGCCCGCCCAATCGGCGTCTGTGGCAGTTGATATTTACTTGTTTACTTATATTATCTAATATATATATATATACACATACATACACACGCATTCCTTACGAATTTGGCCCTTCCTGGGCGTGCGGGCAATCCTTCAGACGACCCAGGAGAACCACAGCCCGAGGACGACCCCCACCAAGCCGTCACACCCCAAAGATCGCTCCGAAACGGCCCAAGAGGCCTCCAAGAGCACTCCCAAGACGGCCCTGAGAGGCAAAAATCATTGATTTTCTATTGGTTTTTGGTGAATTTTGGGGTTATCCTCTTTTCGGCTTCCCGATACTCCAAGACGGCGGTCTCCAGGGGCGAAGCCGCTTGGGAGGCTCCAGAATTTCCCACAAGCATAAGAAACGGCTTCCAGGCAGAGACCCTCCGAACCATTCGACCCGGTCGTTCAGGGAGACCGCGGTCGGAGGCACGGTGTCCCGAGGAAGCCCCCAGAGGCCCCCAGAACACACCCAGGAGGCCTCCAGAAGGGTTTAAGAAAGCTTGCAAAATTTTGTGAAGCTCCAGAGGCTTTCCGAGGAGGAGCCTCCGCAAAAAGAGCTGGGGAGGATGGGGAGCATTCGCAGGGTATGGCGAGAATGAGGAACAAGAAGATACAAGAAGCATGGAAAACATTATTGTAACGGCGATGCCGGAAAAGGCAACAAGGAGTTGTCGCTAACTTGTCGGCTTGACTTTCCTGCCATTCGGCCTGCATACCAAATTTCAAGGACCAAGGTGCATGGCGCGAAGCGCCATTGCAGTTGTTATATATATATATATATATATATATATATATATGTATATGTATGTATATATAAATATAGATATAGCCCCCTCTGGTACATACATAGATATAGATATAGATATTCCCATGACGCTCTCGCAACGCAGAGTGAGAGTTGCATTTAATGTCCCGCCCGCCCGACCGGTTCACAGTCTCGTCGGTGTCGTCGTCGTCGTCGTCGCTCCTAGTGGGGGGGGGGCCCCGGGGGTTGGGGACCCCCCTTGCTTTTTCGGCCTCCCCTCCCTGGGGGAGGGGGGCCTCCCCGCTCTTTTTTTTGACCCCCCCTCTCTCCCCTGGGGACGGGGGGGGGCAGGGGGTGGTTCTCCCCCCCCTGGACCTCCCCCGCGGGTTCCCGGGAAGGTGGAGGTTGGTTGTGGGAATTCTCAGGTTGCCCTTCCCCCTGGTTTCAGGGAGGGGGGTGGGCGATCTGTTATGACTCGTGCAAGCCAGGCGCCCGTGAAACGCGTTCTCTCCAAACATGCGCCACGGTATGCATGTGGCAAGTGTTTCGCATGTAAGAGTCACGTGGGGTTGTCCAACATGGCGGGCGCCAGGTTCTCCACACATGAAAAAAGACGTGCGCGGAGGGGTGTGTACGGAGGCCGTGTTGGACAGAGGGATGGAGGGGGGGCCAGAGGGTATGAGACCTCCAGAAAAGATGCCTCGATCTCCACTGGAGGCCTGTGTCCTTCACCCTGCAGTGTACCACATTAGTTAAAGTCAAGGGTTTCCGACCCCCTCCCTAGGTCCATCTTGGCCCGGATTTGTGTTGCGTCCAGGAGGCCCCGAAGGGATCCAGATATTTAAAGCCGCGTCGCGGGCGTCGCCGTGGTCGTGGTGGTGGTCGTCGTCGTGGTCGTGGTGGTGGTGGTAGTAGTGGTGCTGATGGTCGTCGTCGTCGTCGTCGTCGTCGTCGACATTCCAGGGAGACCGTGGAAGCGCGTTGCCGCGAACACGCGCCCGCGTCGATGGCGACGGCGACGGCGGCGGCGTGACTCGGCCCGCGGTGACAGCCCTTTGGGAAGACCACGGAGGCGCGGATGATGACGATGACATACGACGACGGCGGCAGCGGCGGTGGTGGCGACGTTCCCAGAGGATCGCACGCCTCCGTTTTGGAGGTCGAGCGGCTCGACCTCCAAAATGAATGGAGGCTGAGCTCGAGCCTCGGGGCGACCGTCGAAAGGGCGCGCTCGAAGTTAACGGATCGAGAGGCCCATGGGGGATATTTAATGTGTGTACGCCGTCGGTTTCTTCTCGGTATCGAAGACGCTTACGGCGAATCGTTGCCGCCCCCTGCCTGTTGGAATCGCCCATGTGGCCGAGCGTTGTGAAGGGCTCTGCTAAGCTATCGGACCATGTGTTCCCCCAGCTGTTGTCGAAACCTTTCGGGGAACACTTGGGGGATGACAGGAGGAGGAGGAGGAGGAGGAGGAGGAGGAGGAAAGAGGAGGGGGCATCTTGGGAGCCTCTGGGGGCACTCTTGGGGCCTCCTAGGAACTTCCTGGGAGGCTTTTGGAGGCATCTTGGGGGCCTCCTTGGGCTTCTTGGGGGCCTTGGGGGGCTCCTCGAGGGCCTCCTTGGCCGTCTTAGGGCATTCCTGGCCCGTTTGACGCTGTCGGAAGCCGTCTTGTGGGCCTCTCTGGGCCGACTTGGGGCCCTCTTGGGGTGCTCCGGGGCTGTCTTGGAGGCCATCTTTGGCGTCTTGGAGGCCTCTTGGGCCGTCTTGGGGCCATCTTGGGGTTGTCTTGGGGGCCTCTTGGGCTGTTCTGGGGCCATCTTGGAGGCTTCTTGGACGATGCTGGGGCGATCGTTGGGGGCTCTTGGGCCGTTTCGGGCTATCGGAGGGCTGAAAAGAAACAAATGTTAAAACTCATGTCATGAATTTAACCTCTTCGGGCCTTTTTGGAGGCCCTCTTGGGGGCTTCTTGGGCCGTCTTGGAGACCTCTTGGGGGCCTCTTGGGCGGTCTTGGGCCATCTTAGAGCCATCTTGGGCCGTCTTGGTGGGCTCCTGGCCCGTCCGACGCCGTCGAAAGCCGTCTTGGGGGCCTCTCTGGGCCGACTTGGGGACCTCTTGGGGTGCTCCAGGGCCGCCTTGGAGACCATCTTTGGCGTCTTGGAGGCCTCTTGGGCAGTCTTGGGGCTGCTTGGGGCAGTCTTGGGGGCCTCTTGGGCCGTTCTGGGGCCATCTTGGAGGCCTCTTGGGCGATCTTGGAGCGATCTTTGGGGTCTCTTTGGCCGCCGCCGTTGACAGGCCGATTGGAAGCAAATGCCAAAATCCTTCAAACAACGAAAGGAAGGTCCATGAATGTGGCCTCTTCGTGCCTTCCTGGAGGCCCTATTGGGGGCTTCTTGGGCCGTCTTGGAGGCCGTTTGTGGGCCTCTTGGGCCGTCTTGGGTCATCTTAGAGCCATCGTGGGGGCCTCTTGGGGGCGTCTCGGAGCGTCTTGTGCCGTCCTGGAGCCAACTTGAGCAGTCTTGGTGGCTTCGTCGGCGGACTTGGAGGTATCTTGGACCTTCTTGGCTCGACTTCGAGGCCATCTTGGGCCATCTTGGGCGAACTCGGAGGCCATCTTGGCCGTCTTGGAGGCCATCTTGAGCCGTCTACAAGAATTGTTTGTGGGATTGAGGTGATCTGTGGTACTTTCCGCATGCCCGGCGCACTGGGCCAGAGCCCCAGGGGGAGTTCTTATTGGAAAAAGAACAAATTTCAAACCGTATAGGGTTCAGCACGCCAGGCACCCCTGTGACAAGACCACACGGGGCAGCGGATCCAATGACCCTCGGCCCATCCTGCCGTCGTGTTTGGCTTCTGGGTATGAAGCGTACTGGATGTTCGTTGGAATCTCGTGAGAGGCTTCCCTGGGGCCTCTAAGAGGCAGTTCGGACGCCTCTTGGGAGCCTCTTCTGGACCTCTTGGGGCCTCGCCTCCTCGGCGCCTTTGGAGGCCACCTGGGGGCCTTTCGGGGCGGAAGGCTCGGATTTTCGGTTCGTGCTCCCTCTTCGGGGCCCCTTTCGAACGGGCCGTTCTGGGCGCCTCTTGGGCCCTCTTGGGGCCCCCTTTGGCAGTTTGGAGGCTTTTCTGGAGGCCACTTGGGCTGTCTTGGGGCGGTCTTGGGTCCTCTAGGGCCCACTGGGAGCGTCAGGAAGCCGAAAAGGCGAGAACGCCCAAAAGTTTTCAAAACCTGAGGACAATCAATAATTTTGGCCTCTTGGGGCCTTCGTGGGAGGCCTCTGTGGGCGTCTTGGAGGCTTCTTGGGCCGTCTGGGAGCCATCTTGAGCGTCTTGGAGCGATCGTTCGGCGACTCGGGGCCCTCTTAGACCGTCTTGGGGGCTTCTTGGGGCCCTCTTGGCCCGTCTTGGGGTCCTCTCGGGGTTACGCGAGAAGACGCGCCACGCCCGAGACAAGCCGCGACACGCCCAAGAAGATTTAGGCCGAGTGGCTCCGAATCTTTTCACTACTCATCAGGAGTGAGTACTGAGGATCTGAGGACATGCCCATTCCGTGCCCAGAGGCACGGTTGCGGGTTTTCGATATTGAATGGGGGCTCGGTTCGGGCGTCCATTTCGGATAGACACATTTCCATAGTGGCGGCCAGACCCTTGCTTTTGAAGACTTGATCCTCTTGTAGTGGGGCGGTGGCGGCGGCGGCGACGACGGTCCTCCTCCTCCTCCTCCTCCTCCTCCTCCTCCTCCTCCTCCTCCTCCTCCTCCCCCTCCGTCCGTCCCCTTTTCCTTATAAGTGATTCACTGTCGCACCGCCAGGTGTGTTGGTAAGGCGGGCCGGGCGTTTCGCGTGCGACTTCCCTAACATATATGATCCTGAAGCTTGAAGCTTGCAACAGTTTCACGAGTGAAGGGCGGGTCGTTTTCAAAATGCGATTCTCGTTTTAGCGTCGCGCAAATACATTTCAAGAGTTCGCACAGCTTCACGGATGGAGGGGGAGTGGTTTTCAAAATTAGGTTCTCGTTTTCGCGCCGTTCACATTCGTCTGAAAACATTGTAGCAGTTTTGCGGATGGACGGCGGGTTGTTTTGAAAATGAGGTGTTTGCTTTTGCGCCGCGCACATTTTTTCAAAACTTGTAACAGCTTCAAGGATGAATGACAGTTCTGTTTCAATATGAGACTCTCGGTTCAGCGCCGCCGCGCGCATTCTCTTTGGCAGCTTGTGACACTTTCAAGGATTTCTTGGTAGACGGCCCAGGAGTTGTGTTCTGGCAGGACTCACGTCTTCCAGAAATCAGCAGTCACATTGATTCGCGGTGTTGAAGTCGCAGGACAATTTTTCTAGCACGATTTAGGATTCTCAGGACGCGACAGTCACGTTGATTTGCAACACTGAAATCCTTGGAATTGTGTTTCGCGATGATTGACGACTCTCGGACACTTGTCTTCCAATGGAGAATGACCGCAATGAAAATAAGCTCTTGAAGGGCCCTATATGACGAGGGAGCTTGGGGGGAAGATTTATTGAAACATCGTTGATGCGCCTTGGGCTTGCACTTGTCCTCCTTTTCCACCCCTTTTCCTTCATAGCTCCTCCCTGCCGCGCCCCGAGACGTGGCGGTAGGGTGGGCCAGGCGTTTCGCTTGAGACGTCCTCACCTTTTTTGATCCTGAAGCTTAGGATTTGCAGGATTTTCACGGATGGAGAGCGGGCCGTTTTCGAAATGCGGTTATTGCTTAAGCGCCGCGCACATTCGTCGTAAAAGTTTGCAGGAGCTTTACTGGTGGACTGCGGGCCGTTTTCACCATGTGCGATCGTTTTCGCGTTGCGCACATTCTTTTCTACATAAACGTCTGCAGCAGTTTCACGGATGGAGGTGCGATGTTGAGATCCCAGACAAGGTGGTGTGGCACGATTGAGGATTCTCAGACGGTTATCTTCCAACAGGGTACTCTCCGCAGAGAAGATAAACTCTTGTAGGGACTTGTGAAGGTGGAACTTGGAGGGAGGGTTTGTTGCAACATCGTTGATGCGTCTTGGATTTCCTCCTCCTCCTCCTCCTCGTCCTCCTCCTCGTCCTCCTCCCCCTCCTTCTCCTCCTCCTCCTCCTCCTCCTCCTCCTCTCCTTCCCGTCGCGCAGGTCCCCCTGCGGGCCGTAATCGTGGCTGCCAGGGAGCTCTGCGGCACAACTGGCACGCAGCCGTGCGCGACGCGCCTGGACGCCCCGGCGGAGGGCGACGGCCTCCTGGAGGCCTTGCAGCAGCGGGCGAGGGGTGCCTCCCTCAGGTGCGCACATTCCTCCTCCTACTCCTCCTCCTCCTCCTGCTCCTCCTGCTCATCGCCCTCCTCATCCTCCTGCCCATCGCCCTCCTCCTCCTCCTCCCTCCTCCTTCTCCTCCTCCTCCTTCTCCTCCTCCTCCTGCTCCTCCTCCTCCTTCTCCTCCTCCTCCTGCTCCTCCTCCGCCTCCTCCTCCGCCTCCTCCTCCTTCTCTTCCTCATGCTTCATTCGAGGGCCTTGTGGGCCCCTCCTTGAGCCCCAGCCGCCCAGGCTTGGCCACCCAGGGGAGCAGGCTCCGTAGGGGCCTACATCCCAGTTCGACGGCCTCCCCTCCGAAGCTCGGGGGGCCCTCTGTGGGAGGGGAGGCCGGTTCCTCCAGAGGCCTCAGAGCGTCGCCCTGACCCCGCGAGGCCCTGGATATTGGAGCCATCTGGGGGTCTGAGGTGGCCCAGACCAGCCAGCGAGGGAGTTCGGGAAAGTGTTTTTTTTTGGGGGGGGGGGGGGGGGGCTTTTTTCGGCCTCTGGGAGCTGTGTTCGGGCTCCGGGATCGTGCAAAGCGGATCCGGGATGACAATTTGCGTCTGGAAGCCGATGGTGATCGGATTTGGTGGACAACCCTGGGATGCAACTATCGACCTCCCCCTCCTTTTCGGCGAAACTGTAGCGCCTCCCGCCCCTGGCAGTGATGCCCCGCTCCCAGGCCCCTCAGTGCGGGATCCCACCAACATCGTGATAGCATTTCAACAAGACCCCAATCACCTGGCACCGAAGCCCTGAGCAAATCACGCCAGAGTTGCCTATCACCTAGATCCTTAACCTTGTTATCAATTTATCATCATTTATTCGACCACTACAGCACGCAGAAACTGTCCCCCCAAGATCCTCCGCAAAATATAGTATGCAGTGCACCTCTGTTGACCTTAACATTGTCTTCCCAAGCCGTCAAACCCAACGATCCGAAGACAATTATATGCTTTTCTGTTCATCCCCGGCTTAAACTCTTCACGATGTAAATCTGTGTCACTTGCGATCCTCTGCAAACAAATAACATGCGGTGTGGATCTGTGGATCTTAACATCGGCTTCTCAAGCCTTCAACCCTGACGATCCTGTACAATTCATATGTTTGTGTCTGCACATCCCCGACCCAAACCCTTCACGATGAATATCAAACCCCCTCACGATCCGATGTTAAAAAAAACGATGCGTTTCATATCGGCTGCTTTTAACGTCGCCTTACCAAGACTTCAACCCTCATGATCCTATCCACATTGCTTATTTTTCTGCAGATCTCTGAACCAAACCCTGCACGATCGAATTCTAAACCCCTTCACGATCTTCTGCTGCCCTGGGCGGGTTCCTGGGCTGCCTCCCACAAGTAGCCGATCCTATTTGCAACACTGGCCAATTCTTGCTCCTGGGGCATCATCATCATCATCAGCATCATCACCATCATCATCATCATCACCATCATCACCATCATCATCATCATCATCACCACCATCGTCATCAGCATCATCATCACAATCAGCATCATCATCATCATCAACATCATGATGATCATCATGATCATCAGCATCAGCATTATCATCATCATCATCATCATCATCATCATCATCATCATCATCATCAGTATCATCATCATCATCATAATTTGGCATCATCATCATCATCATCATCATCATCATCATGATCATCAGCATAATCATCATCGTCGTCATCATCATCATCATCATACTTTGGCATCATCGCCATCATCCTCATCATCATCATCCTCCTCATCATCACCACCAAAATCAGCATCAACCGCATCGTTATCATTGTCATCCTCATCTATTCTGGCAGGCATCCGGAGTTGAAGAGGATTCAAGACTGCGTCGACCTGATGAGATGGCAGAGTCATGTTCTGGGATGGGAGGGGGGGGATCCGCGCAAGCTCTTGGTCCTAAGCCCGTTCTGCCTCGTTTGGCCCAGCTGCACGACTTTGCTGACCTCTGCGAGGCGCTTGAGCTCTGCCGTGCGGAGCGCAGCCGCGAGGCCCGGGCCCTGCTTACCGGGGAGCCGGGGCGCAGCGTGCCCGAGTATTTTCTCGGGCTTTGATTGGTTCGAGAACGTCGGCGGCGAGCGAGGCAAGTCGAGTGGCCGAGGCATCGTTTCTGAATGGACTGGTGCGGATTGCGGATCGTCAACAATTACAACGAACACCGTCGTCCTAGGACAGGGAAGCTACTCGTGTGCGCGGAGTGCGATCCGCGATGCTTGTGCTGGTGGAGGGGGGCTGGTGTGAATAGAAGACGATTGTGCTTCCTGAGGTCGGCGGCGAGCGAGGGGTGGAAGTGAGCATGAGAAGGCCTTCGCAGAATGCGGCGGGGCTTCTCAGAAGCCCTCAGGCCTCAGAAGGCCCGCCCGTTCTCACTTCCCCGCCTCGCTCGCCGCCGAAAACGAGAGGCACGCAGAGCTCTGCCCGCGGCGGAGCCGTGCGCGGCGCGCTCGGGCGCCCCGGTGGAGGGCGGCGGCTGTCTGGAGGCTTCGCGGCAGCGGGCGAGGGGTGCCTCCCCCAGGTGTGCACATTCCTCCTCCACCTCCTCCTCCTCCTCACTTTCCTCCTCCTCCTCACTGTCCTCCTCCTCCTCCTCCTCCTCCTCCTCCTCCTCCTCCTTCTCATTCTCCTCATTCCCACTGGCGCCCCGCAGTGGCGCCACCACCCTTTGCGGCTCAGCCTGCTCTTCTTGGACCTGCCTCTGCTGAAGTTGTCGTGTTGCATGAATTGGCGGCGACATCCGCACGCGTTGTTGCATATGTGGCAGGTGTCAATCGTTCTGGGTGGATTTTACATGCATGCTTCTCCACTAATCTGTGTGTAGCGATAGTGCGTTTTCGTGTACGTATCTCGTATTGTTGAACGGCGAATTTGTCTTGGCGTGGGGATTCGTGGTCGTCGCAGTCCTCGTCGTAGTCAGGGAGTGCAGTGCTCTAGCTTTTTCTGGGTTAGATACTATTTCGCGATTGGACCGAATCCTCCTCCTCCTCTTCCTCCTCCTCCTTCTCAACCCCCTCTCCCCCTGTCCTCCCTCCCCCTTCGCCCTCATCCGGGAAACACGACTTCTGATCTGTGTTCTTGACACTCGGGTTCCCGCTGGTTTGGCGGGCGGCGCCATTTGGTCTCAGGGGGGGGGAGCGCCCTGCAGCAACGGGCGAAGGGCGCCTCGCACTTCTCTGGGAGTCGACCAGTCTCGGTGCAAAAGGGGAGCCGATGTTCCTCAAGTTCTCCCCGGGCCTCCCCCTGGCGCTCCTCGCGTCGGGGAAACGCAAGACTCGAGCAACAGGGCTGGACCCAGACGTTGTTTTGCTGGACTTCGGCTGTGTCTTGGCAGGAAGGCACGGGAACGCAGGTAGAGCAAAGCGAAAACCAAAACGAAACCAAAACGAATAACAGCGTTTAGGTCCAGCCCTGACGTAAGACTCGAGTAAGCCAGAACTCGGGCTCGCGGGTATTTTTTGACGAGCGCGTCCTGGATTTTGACGGTCCAGTTTTCTTGGGATGTTTGAAGCGGGAGGCTACGTCAAATTTCAGATTGGGTCGCGCCATTGTTGCGTCATTTTTATGATGGCCCCGTCGGGCCAACCCGGGTCCCCCTGACCCGAGTCTTACGTCTCCCCAATCGTGGATATGGGCGGAATTGGTGCCCAAAGAGGCTTCGTTCTTTCTGCCAGGCTCCTCATGGCAGAACTTGGATTCGAGGGTGCTTCAAAAGGGGGCCTCGCTTTCGAGGGATCGAAAGGTTGACTTCCCTTCTTCGGCAGAGGCGCGGTGGAAGCAAAGCGGGGACGGCTCCGCCATCGGAAGGGTGGGGGGAACGAGCGATGCGCGCATTTGTTGCTGTGGGAGTGGGGTTCAGGTTGTATGGAGCGAGCCAGGTGCGCCACGTGGTAGAATCCCGCGCAAATAGAGAGAAGTGCCGAGCAACCTTTGGGTTCCCCAGGCAATGCTGATACCGTCGGACCGATACTGTCGATCAGTTCTGGAAGCACCCTTTGGGTCCCCAATCGGTGCTGATCGAGATCGGTTCTGGGAGGGTACTCTGCTGTTCTTCGTGCTTGTTGGATGCTCTCGTGCGCATCTTGGGGGATGGTGCCCCCGGATTGTTCTTCAGTCTGGGCCGGCGGAGGGCCTCGTGCTCCCGAGTGGTGTTATTACATCCCAGGTCCGGCTGTGCTCGTACGTCGCCGAGCGCGCTCCACTACTTGCAAAGTGCCTACTCGCAAACGTCAGGAAGAAAGCACATCTTTGCCTCGCTGTATATCGGATCGTGAACCCCCCGCGGCGGGTCCAGGCCATTTGCGAGTAGTTACTCTGCGAGCAGTGGAACGCGCCCGATTAGTATACGTGGCGGAGTTTGGGTTCGATTCACTTCGTCTGCTGCAGCCCCCTCCCCGCCTTTCCCCCCTCCCCCAACGCCCATTTGGGGTGCCCAGAGGGCGCAGATTGCACGTCGGGGTTCGAGCATATTGTCCGCACGCATTCATTTTGGAAGCATGGGGCTCCACGGGACACCCAGTCCCACCCGTACGTTGCCACCGTCACCCGTCGTCAGAAGGCGGCGCTGAAGGTGGACTGCCCGATTTCTTCTCGTTGGTGCCCCCTGCGCTCGTCGTGGGCTCCTTTTCGCGCGCCCAGGTCGTACAGCGAAGCTGTAGGTCTGCCGCGCGCTCGTCGCAATCAGGGCCTCGCAGGTGCGTCCCACGCTTCCTCTACCCCGGGCCCAGTGGCCCTCCCTCCAGGGGGCACCGCGTCCTGAGACCGACCGCGATTCTTGTCTTGCCCTCGTCCTTTTCCTTCTCCCCCCCTTCTTCTTTCGTTCATTCCCCGCCCCTCCCCTGCCGACCCCAATCCGTCTTCCTCCGCTCTCTCGGCGTCGCTCGGGCGTGTGCATGTTCTTCTCGGCGCGGGCCATCGAGGAACATCTTGGATCATCCTGCCGGAAGAAGACCAACGCACGAAACCGAATCATGCGCGGGGAATGGACGTCCGAGCGATGGCAAAGTCTGGCCTCCTCTCTCTCTCTCTCTCTCTCCATCCCCACCTCTTTTCTGCCTCCTGCCTTCTCCCCGCCCGCCTTCCCACACTGCCCCCCATCCTTCCTCCTCCCCTCCCTTGTCCCTCCTCCATGGCTCCTCCCCTTCCGTCCCTTGTCCCTCCTTCCCATCACTTCTTTCTTTCCCTTCCTTCGCAGTCCCTCCCATTCCTTGCCTCGTCCCTCCTCCCATGGCTCCCCCCCTCGCCGCCTCGCCTCCCTCCCTCCGCCCTTCGGTGCGGCTCCTCTCGCTCTCGAGGGCCCGAGGAGCCACAGCCGAGCGAGCCCCCCCCCGCCCACGTGGTGCCCCCCCCTCTCCGCAGCCTTGAGGAGGCCGCTCGGCTGCTCGGGTGGGGCAGCGTCGTCCGTCAGTAGAAGAATAAAAACTTTGGGTTCCTTGATAAGCGTGGGGGGATCCCCCCCCGACGGGGGTCAACCTCGCCTCGTCGTCGCGCCGCGACGGGGGTCGGAGCGCCTTCGGCGCGCGGTGGCTGCCCGCGACGGAGGTCGATGTGGGGCTGTCGGCGGGGGTGACGCCCCCCCGACACTTCATACGAAGTTCGGAGTAAATTGTTGGCGCTCCGCGCGGATTTCTTGGATCCGCGTTGGGCGCCCCCCCCAGCGGCGCCTACGGCGCCGCCCCTGGCACGCTCCGCCCGCCAGGGAGCGTGGGGGGCTCTGCGCCAAAAGTTTATGTTTCTGGCGTTTCTTCTTCTGGTCAGCGCCGCTTCTGGCCACAGCGCGACGGGAGGACAAACCACGCCCACCGCCAGAATTGGCGTTTAATTGAACGGCCCTTGGCGTTTACTGAACTGCCCTGCCTTGTTCGATTCCTTCCTTGGGCGCGTTTGCTAAACAGTTTCGCACTGTTGATCGTTCTCATATTCATTGTTTTGCCGATCGGCGCGGGCCCCCCCCCTCCCCCCCCATGGAGTAGATCTTGGCTGTTTTTTGGCGCCTGTTTCGATCGGGTGGAGTCTCCCCCAGAGGCCGCACTGCTGCAAACAGTCGCATTAAGCAGATGTCTGGAGCCAGACCACCCCCCTCCCCCCCTTTCCGCCCACTGTCGAAACTCCGAATAAGAGAACGCTCAGACACTGTCGGGGTGCTTACCGTGAGGGTGTTTTTGTTGTCGCCTTCTCCTGGAAGGGCGCGCAGGCAGGATGCACGGACCTTGAGCGCCCCCCCCCCGCTTACGCGGTGCTTTCCCCGCAGCTACAAGGAGGCAGCCCGGCGGCTCGGGGAGGCGGTACATTGGAGGGGGGAGGGTGAAGCAACGTGCACCTCTTGCGCACCTCAGGGGCCCCAGTGGTGCCACCAATGGGGTACGACAGGTGCTCGTTTCCTCACCCCCCGTTTCTGACCTCCCCTGTGAGCAAACCCCGTAATCGGCGGTTCTGGCTTCAGCCTGACGGGATTGTAGGGGCGCGCATGTAAGGATGCAAGGACCTTGGGCGCCCAAGTTGAAGAAGGCCTTTGAGCGAGAACGTGGCCAGCGACAGTGACTGAGGAAACGCCGCAGGTGCAAGGGCGAGTGACGACGAGAGGGTGCCATTCGGAAACTACTCGTCCTTCTGACCCTGCCCGTTTGTGCAGCCAAGACGCTGGAATACGGACCGCGTCGGGTTCAGGATGCGCTCTGCCCTCTCTCTCCTCGGCTTGCGTTCCTCACAGCAGCACGCTTGCCGTATTCCTTCCGTCCCTCCTTCCGCACTCTTGTGACGCGGCCGCGCGGCGCGGGCGACAGGGGGCCGCGCTCCCGCTGGAGGACGCGCTGATACAGGAGCGGGGCTCCGCCGAACGCAATGCGATCACTTCTTCGTCTCTCTGGGGGAAATTAGCGGCGGATGGGACGGGAGGGAGGCGAGAAGGAATGAGGAGCGGGGAGGGAAAGAACGTGAAGGAGACGTGAAGGAGGAGGAGGAGGAGGAGGAGGAGAAGGAGGAGGAGGAGGAGGAGACGTGAAGGAGGAGGAGGAGGAGGAAAAGGAGAAGGGGGAGGGTCGCGGATCACGGCTGCCCGTTTTGGTGCCAAGAAGATAGTTATTGATTGGGCCATCTTAAGACCCTCTTAGGCCCCTCTTGGGGCTCTCTTGGGGCCATCTTGGACCCACCAGAGTCCTCGCCAGGAGTTTCCCCCTTCGAGACAGGCGTGGGCCGCCGAGTGCCCCCGCCGCCGCCGCCCAGAGGAGCGCCTGCGCCGGGTGCGGCGCCTGCAGCGGGAGGTGGAGCGCTCCCGCGAGCAGGCGCCGTTCGGGGGGGGGGCGCAGTGCTGCGTCGGTGGCAGCTGGCCCTGCAGTCCTCGGGGCCAACGATCGCGGGGATAGGCATAGAGGGGGGGGGGACGCATCGAGTCCCAAGCGCCCATTGATCGCACAGGAAGTTGCGGTTTCACTAGTCGGGGGGGCCTGTCGCCGCTCTATCGACGAGGTGTCGTCGACTCCAGGTCGATGCATCCCCCCCTTGTGCCAGTCCCCCCTTATGGTTGCCGCTCATGTCCGGGGGTCGTCAGCTGAGTCAAAGCCGAGTAAGGTCGAGTCGCTGCGATGGGAAGCGCTGCGTGCACCTCACCGACCCTGGCCGTGCCCAGCGTGGGCTCAGGAACGGACATGGCAAGGATCGGTGATCTGGATTACCGACGTTCTCTGAGCTGTATGGGCCTGTCCGAAGGCCTTCCCGGTCAGGTGTTCACGATGCCGCCGAGGGGAGGGGGGGCCGGGGTGTATGAGTGTCAGCGTCCATGCGGCGCGTAGAGCTAGCCAGGCGGTGATGCCAGGCGGCGTATCTATGTAGATGAGGTCCAGGTGCCGTCTGAAGGCCAGCGGACGGGGCCCAAGGAGTCTGGCTCATTGAGCACACACTGGGGCGAGCTAGATTCTTAACAAATGTTTGCCAGCGTGGAGCCCGAACAGTGAGTGCACTCTCGATGTGTCCTCCCGTGTGGTACAACCTATGGGGCGCGATGGATTTTTACAAACGAGTTGACAAATTTCATGCTCTTACAATTCTCCCACTCACCCGCCGGCAACTCGATTTGCAAAACCCATGTGGCGGCGATTGCGATGAGTGCTTGGCGTTGGCTGTTGCATCTCTGTGGCCACGCTAGCCCGCGCATGCTCGCGCGCACAGCGGTCAGCTGGGTTTGCGCGACCGACGCGGGCCGCGGTGGCGCTAGCTGCTGTGCATTTCCCAGCGGGCACTTCAGTGCGAGTCGGTGACTTGGGCGGGCGCGGTATCATGACTTGGCCGCCCTTGCCGTATTCGATGTCAGGTCTCATGACAAGCCGCCCACGAGCGCGCGACATGGAGGTGTCGTCGTGGGGAGCAGACGATGCGGTGTTCCTGCCCTGCAGGCGCTGGGGCGCAATATGCTCTTCCTACATTTCAGCGGCTCGAGTTTCAGTTCGTTTGCCACGTTGCAAATCATACACTGGCTGAGGTCAGGTGAAGGGGATTTCGTCAGGCGCGCGTGGCTTTGCTTCGAGAATGAGCCACGGGACGGAAACATATTGGATAATGATATTTGGTGTTCGCCGCCCCAAGTGCCATGTGGTACCAGTCAATGTCGGGCCGTGTTGTGATGAAGTGGAGGAGGAGCCCCCCCCGTTCCGTCCTCGTTAGTACCCCCTTCCGTGCTTTCGAGGGGGGGCATGCGAAGTTTGCTAGCTCAGCGCGATGTCCAAGACATGACGGTTGTTGGAAGTTGCGATATCGTGGGCTGCTGCACGCAGTCCAGAGTCGGAGTGTGGCTCGGATTGATAAGTTCGGGGGTCTCCTTCGGCACTTGGACCGATTTGTGTGTGCTGCGTGGTGATCAAAGTTTTCTTTTCCCCTTTTTGGCCCTTGCCCTCAGGCAAAATCTATCCCCTCCTCCGAGCCATGGAAAACGTTGATCGGACTTCAACTTGATTGGATTTCAGAATATTGCAATTATCCAGACTACCCGGTTTTATTCGTATTCATTCTCTATTATAGCCTGCCCGTGCTGTGCTCTACTACAGGCGTTTCCCCGTGAAGTGGACTTGTTTGAGATATATATATATATATATATATACATACATATATATATATATATGTACACACGTCTATATATAACATGCCCATTTTTACGATGGATGCTTCCCGTCCTGTTTTTCAAACACCAAACGCGGAACCAAAAAATCGTAAAGTGGGCACGCAGGGGCACGCCACTTTACGCGAAATGCGTTCTGTGTTTGAATTTACACACTAAACCCGCACCCGCCCGATCGTTACGTGGGGTTGCCGGGCAACCCAAAGTGCACCCCGTGTGTGAATTTACTTGATAGAACCCGCCCCCCGCCGGATCGTCAACGCGGTGCGTTGGACAACGCCTCACAGGCCCCACTGGTCTCGTCAGTCCCACAGGTCCCCCAGGCCTCACAGGTCGCAGACGTTTCATTCGGTATCGTGCAACCGATCCCCATCCCCATCACTTTCGAGACCCACACCAAATTACTACCCCAGTTGTGGATATACCTTTCGAAACCCGAAGGAAACGACTTATACCCCCATCAAGGGGGGTAAATCGGCCAGTGGGGCCGAGGCCACGCCGTTGGGGATGGTGATCGGACAAGCGATACTCACTCACAGGCCCCACAGGTCCCACAGGTCCCACAGGTCGCATGTCCCACAAACCCTGCAAGTCCCGCGACCCCCGCAGGTTTCTCGCAGGTCCTAACAATGCCGACGTTTTGCACAGGTCCCACAGGTCTCACAGGCCTCACAGCTCCCACAAGTTTCGCAGGTCGCACAGGTCGCACAGGTCCCGCAAAACCCACCGATCCCGCAAGTCGCCCAGGTCCCGCATGTCTCGCAGGCCCCACAAGTCGCACCAGTTCCACAGGGGCACAAGTCTCACACGTCCCACAGGACCCACAGGGCGGCACGCTAAAAGACGAGAGGGAATCGCGCGGAAACCCAATACCTAGGCAGAATTACGCATCCCCGTGAAAATGTATAACGAAAATGGCACAGGGATGGAAGCTGAACAAATGCTGAATCAGACCAGGCGGGGCCCGTCGCATCAAGCAACATCCGCCTGTCAATGTTACGGAAAAACGTATCGTCTGCATTGCGCGTTGCATGTTAGCCATCCGATTGGTGGGACCGAAACCGCAAGGCAGAACGTGGAAGCGCCCGCGCCAGCGGCCCTGTGAAGGATTTACTTGGAAGTGGCGTCCGCCTCCCAATGTTGCCAATGGACAGCAAACCAAAGCGTGGCACATCGATGGCCTAGCCCATGGTGCACGCCTGCGCACGCTGCCAACATTGAAACGCGAAAATCACTGAATGATCCTCTTTGGGCGTTGCCGTCTGCATTTCGTTCACGATGATCGTCTCGCCGATTTTGTCATAACTTTTCCCCTGCTGTGTAATGAATGGAATCGTTCGATGAGGACTGGCTTGTCCCGAACGGCGCCGCGGCGGCATGCCCGCCGCTTTCCTCGCCGCGCGCGCGAGACAGCGCCTCGCGGCCAGAGTCGGCGCGGCTTTTGCGACGTCGCCCAGAAACGACGCCGCGCGGCGTGCGCGCTGCTTTTCTACAAACCGTGTAGACCCCGTTAGAAAGCGCTTCGTCTCTGGTGTAGTAACCGTTACGATTTACATAAAGCATTTCAACAGTAGAAATCCGTGTTAAATGGATTCGACCGGTTTCTGTGTGAGTTAAACAGGTTTCTAGACCAGTTTCTAAACGTTGTATATTGGTTTCTACACAATTTCCAAGAGACTGTTGCGACAGCGACGCCAGGAACGCTCCCGCGCCGGTGACGGCGGCTGGCAGGGCGCTGCGTTCCGCCCGCTGTCGCGACATAGCGAGAGCGCCCCCGTGCCGCCTTGCGCCGAAAATGCGCGCGCCAACGTGAAATGGCAACGTCGACTCTACACGCGACCGTTGCATTGCACTCGTCGATTCCGGTGCGCGCTGAAAAAAAACGACCATCTACGTGAGCGACTGCGCCCGCGCCCAGGAAGTCCGCGCGGGCTGCTCGTTCGCTCTGGCCACATCCCGGAACGCGCAGACACGAGCTCGAGGCCAGCGCGCGGCGCGCCGCGTTCCCTCCCTGTCTCCCCGCATTGTGCAAAATGCCTGCAGCCGCGGATTGCGTCGCACGGCCCGTCGGACAGGGGCAAGTCCACGAGTGGCGGCTTTGCTCTGGTAGTCTTGGTTGTTTTTTGCGCGCGCCCTGGACCATTTGTGTTCTTTGCTTTGGTCAATATTATATACTAGTGTTTTCGTGTCCTTGGAGGAGCTCTGTCCAGTCTGATTCAGATTGAAGAAGGCTGCGGCCAGGACCTGAGGGCGTCCACGCGCGCGTTGAACTCTATTCTACTGTCTCCCCTAGTCTGCTCGTTCCTTCCCTGCCCCACCCTATCTTGTACTTATGTTTCTTTGCGATGGTCTAATCCAGCATGCCCGATTTGTACCTGACCCTGCTTTGTTATCCCATTATACCCAAACATACACTACTCGAATCTACTCAGCTCTACTTTGTTTTATATGCGCTATTCTGGTATGTTCTACTCACTTATGATTATTTAGTGTGCCCTGGTCGATTCGAGTACCTATATATATATATATATATATATATATATATATATATATATATATATATATAATACTTTATTCTCTTGCACAGCTGTGCTCTAGAGCTCGGACATCTTTATTTTCGTGTCGTGTCGTGTCGTTCGTCCCCCTGCCCCCCCCCTGCCCCCCCCCCGTCCAGGCTCCCCAGGGCAGCCCCCCTGGGCCTCGGACACCTTTATTTTCGTGTCGTGTCGTGTCGTTCGTCCCCCTGCCCCCCCCCCCGCCCAGGCTTCCCAGGGCAGCCCCCCTGAGCCTCGGACATCTTTATTTTCGTGTCGTGTCGTGTCGTTCGTCCCCCTGCCCCCCCCTGCCCCCCCCCCCAGACCCAGCTCCCCCGTGCAGGCTTCCCAGGGCAGCCCCCCTGGGCCTCGGACATCTTTATTTAATCGCTTCGCTCATTCCGCCGGCCCATATTGTCGCACCGTTGTGGGCTAGCCGAGTTTGGGGGCCTCTTGGGGGCCGTTTTTGGGCCTCTTGGGGCCTCTTTTGGGCCTCTTGGGCGCCTCTTGGGGCGTCTTGGGGGCCTCTTGGGGGCCTCTTGGGGCCTTTTTGGGGCCTCCTGGGCGCCTTCTGGGGCGGAGGGCTCGATTTTTCAGTTCTCGGTTCTCCTCTTGAGCCCCTCTTGGGCCCGTCTTGGGGCCTCTTGGTCCGTCTTGGGCGGCACTTGGGCCGTCTTGGGGGCCCTCCTGGGCCGTTCCGGGGCCGTCTTGGGAGCCTCGTGGGCCGTCTTGGAGCGGTCTTGGGGGCCTCTTGGGCCGTCTTGGAGCGTCCGGAAGCCGAAAAAGCCAGAACGCAAAAAACATCGAAAAAACAATGAAAATCAACGATTTTGGCCTCTTGGGGCCCTCTTCGGAGGCCTCTTGGAAGGCCCTTGGGGCGTCTTGGAGGCCTCTTGGGCTGTCTTGGGGCCCTGTTGGGCGTCTTCGGGCGATCTTTGGCCGTCTCGGGGCCCTCTTGGACCGTCTTGGAGGCTTCTTGGGGACCTCTTGGCCCGTCCTGGGGCCCTGTAACAGGGCTCCGGCATCTCTGGCCCGACCTTGCGGGACCTTGCCTTGGGGACCTTGCCGGGGTATGTAGAAATACTGTTGGTACCGGAGATCTTAGCACGCCCTGGCCCGTTGGGCCGGCGAATTTTCGTGTCGTGTCGTTCGTCCCCCTGCCCCCCCCTGCCTCCCTCCCAGACCCAGCTCTTCTGGGCCACCCCCCCGTGGGAGCCCTGAGACCCAGCTCCCCTGGGCCCCCCCCCCCCCCGGGAGCCCTTGGGAGCCCGGCTCCGTCCAGGCTTCCCAGGGCAGCCCCCCTGGGCCACGGAACCCTCCCCTCCGTGCTCCCTTGGGCCACGCCCCCGTGGGAGCCCTTGGGAGCCCTCCTCCGTCCAGGGTTCCCAGGACAGCCCCCCTGGGCCACGGAACCCTTTATTTTCGTCGTCGTCCTTCGTTCCTGGGACACCCCCCGTGGAAACTCTTGGGAGCACCCCTCCGTCCAGGCTTCCCAGGGCAGCCCCCCTGGGCCACGGAACCCTGTATTTTCGTCGTGGTCGTTCGTGGTTCGTGGAAACCAGGCCAGGGCCCAGAGATCGTCGTCGTCGTCCTCCTCCTCCTCCTCCGCTTTCTTCCTGGCTCCTCGTAAACCCCTCCTGGAAGAAGGAGGCGGGGGCCTCCTGTCCTTCGCAACTCCTTTGTGCAAGAGCCAGGGCACGCGTGCCACTTGTTTCTGAATTGGACGATTGTGTGACGATTTTTGGGATGTGGATGTCATTGCATAGCAATACAGGTAGTAGGAAAATACTGATACGAGGAAGGCACACGGATAGGAGGGAGAAACCATGCGCATAGTTTGACTGTGCAAGGGCAAAATAGACGGGAGGTGCTAGGAACCAGTTCTCTACGCACTGAGCCAGGACTCCTATAGGCAATCCACTGTGTAGCAAAAGCTGGCGTGGACGAGCACCGACGCAGGCACAGTGACCAACAAGTGCCCCCTTCTTCTTCTTCTCTTCTTCTTCTTCTTCTTCTTCTTCTTCACCTTTTCTTTTTCGTCCTCTTTCTTCCTGTTCCCCCCCTTCGGTTTTCAATCGTTTTCTCGTATGCCATTTTTTGCGTTCCCTCCGGAGCGCGAGGAGGAAACCAAACGGTGCAGCTACCTAGGGTGGGACAAGGGACTCTTGGGAAAAACATGGGTCCATGCCATCAGCCGAGTCTCATCGAGAGTTAAGGAATCGGCGCATGCTTGGCCCAGATCGGTAGATCTGGAATGTCATGCACAGAACGCATTAGAGGGATACATGCGTATGTCATTGTCGTGGCCTTTATCCCTTGGGATGTCCGGATGTGTTGTGCCCCTTGTTGGGAGCATTTTCAGAATGATTCAATTGGTTTGGCGAGGTCGGAGAGCTGTTGGGGATCTAGCTTCGTAACCTCCTTACACATTCCTGTTGCTTACGCCTGTTTGGCGATGGATCTGTAAGGTAGCCAAAAGATGGAATGCATAGGGGGAGGCATGCATTCCGAATGGCGCAGGCATGGATTCGCATGTCGACCTGCATTGCTCTCGTAAGGTGCTCTCGCGTCCCAGCCGCACTCTTCATCCTTGCTCCTTTGTTCACGCCGTTCTTTCCTCAGTTCCCCTCTTGCCAGGATTCTGCGTGCTCGATTTTGATGTCGGCAAAAGCAGCAGAAGCAGTAGAGGGAGCAGTTGTGACAGAAGCAGCAGTGGCAGCAGAAGAAGCCGCAATCTTTGCCGAGCCACCAGGGCCGCCTGATCCTCGAGGACATCAAAGACGGTCGACTGCGACCTGTACGGGAGCTCGAGGCTCGTCCCCCGTGCAAGCAGATTAGAAGCGGTGCTGGAATTTGTAGACGGCAGCCTGCGAATTGCAATGTAGGTCTCGTCGAGTCTCGCGCAATGGCGTCTCGGCACGTGCCACGGGTCAGCGAGCAGTTATGTCCATGGCTACAGCGATGCAGGGTGCCAGTCGATCGTGACCTCCGCAGTGCACGATCGTCTTAACTCGACGAGCCGAAATCCTTCACATCAGTAATTTTGGGTCTCGGAGCCCACAGGGCGGTTTTTCATGTTTTCCATTCGACATTCCATGAAGCCCGATGTCATTCCGAGGCCGCGCGTCGAACGTTTTCGATGGCGCGTCGCGTTATGCGATGTCACGTGCGTTGGGGTCGTCAAAGGCTTGCGTGCTTGTTGCGGATCGGTTGATGTGGGTTGGGTTTTTTTTCAGGATTGTACATTTGCTTTGCGCTGGGGCGGTTTCGACCCCCATCCCTGGCTGATCCACCCCGCGGGTAACGTCACAGGAAGAGTTCGATCATTTCGTTCGTAGTGCCAGCGATGCTGTCGCGGACATTGACCGCGCCACGGGGGGGGGTCGTCCAGAAATTTCCTACCATATTGCAGTGTTGGTTCTTCGTTTTGAAGAGACACCGCCCCGCGTCATTCCTTCCGGCCCCCTCCCTCGTCCTCCCTCTTCGCGTATCTGCCCCTGCTCTCCGCGTGTCTCCGTCGTCATCGTCCATCGTCATCGTCGCCATCACCATCATCATCAGCATCATCAGCATTCTCGCCGTCTCCATCATCAATACCACCACCATCCTCATCAACATCATCAAAACACCCCCCTTGTTCCCCCGCGTCTCTGCTTCGCCACATCCCCCGCAAGTGTCGTGGCCTTGTGAGGTGCTCCACCGAAGGCCCCATCGGCAGGGTCCTTCGCCGCCCAGCCCATGTCGGCACGCCCCTCAGACGCTTCGTGTCCCCATGAGGAGCTCACCGGAGGTCCCGGCGGCAAGGTCCACATGCCGTCGCCCAGGCCACATTGATGACACCCTCAAACATTTCGTGCCCCTATCGGCAGCTCCACCAACAAAAAAGTCCCAGCGGCAGGTTTCCCAGGCCGCCGCCCAGCATATTTCGGCATACGTTTCACACGCTTCGTGGCCCCACGGGGAGCTACACCGACGGCCCCACAGGCAGGGCCCACAGGCCGCCGCCCAGCCCATTCCGTCATACGCTCACAAGCTTCGTGGCCCCATTGGGGAGCACCCCCGATGGCCCAAGCGACAGGGTCCACATGCCGTCGCCCAGCCCATGTCGTCCACGAGTGGCGCCCAGCACGGCTCCAAGAGCGCCCCAAGAGGCGCCGAGTAAGTTGCACCCTCATGCAAATAGTTTTTGTCACTTGTGGGGGTCCTCTTGGGGCCCTCTTGGAGCATTCTTGGGGCCCTCTGGGAGCGTTCTTGGGGCCTTCCCGGGGCCCCAGTGGGCCCTCGGAGGGCCCCAAGAACGTTCCCCGAGGGCCCCAAGAGGGACCCCCCAAAGTGGTACAAAGAATTCGCGCGAACGTGCAATCTGTTGTAGGCCTTTCGGGGCCCTCTGGGAGCTCTCTTGGGGCCCCCATTGGTGGCGCCTTGGGGCCTTGGGATGGCTCCAAGAGGCTTCGGGATTGCCCCAGACCGCCACAAGACAGCTCCGAGACGGCCGTCGAGCACCACGGGTGAAAGCAAGTGAGGCTAGGGAACAGGGCCTCTGGTAAGCCGCCACTGCGCCCCCTGGACTACCCAGACAGCGAGGGGACCTGAAACGCCCTGGGGCTCCAGGGGCCCCAGATTAGTGAAGTGAAGGTTTTTGCCATGCAAGCACCCCGAAATTCTTCACTTCACTAAACCGGACCCAGGACGAACTCGCTACGCTCCAGTCCCGCGGGAGATCCAAGACTCCCGCCGCCGCCCGGGGACGTTGCTGCATTGCGGTGCTCTGGTCACTGTTAATGGCTTCCGCGGGCTGCAGCGGCTCACTTCCATGACTACCCCGACTCACGAATCCAGTGGTTGGTCTGGCTCTATGGGTTGGTTTCGTTGTGTCGGTTGATTTTATGCTTGGTTGGCGGTCGGTGGATTTCGCGTTGTTCATTGGTGTCGTGAAGTGATTTGTCGTTTGGTTGGTCAGTGCCGTTTTGTTGATTCGTGCCGTTTTGTTGGTTGGTGTCGTTTCGTTGGTTGGTGTCGTTTTGTTGCTTGGTGTCGTTTTGTTGCTTGGTGTCCTTTTGTTGGCCGGTGTCGATTTGTTGGTTTGTTGGTTGGTGTCGGTTTGTTGGTTGGTGTCGTTTTGTTGCTTGGCGTCGTCCTGGCGGCGTGGCCGATAATCGGCGGCCTGCAATGGCGCCAGGATTTGTTTCGGGCCAGCCTTGATCGCCCTCATCATTCTCATATTCGTCAGCGTCAGCACTCGTCGCCCCCATCCGCGCACACATGCGGCCCTGGTACGGCTCTCACGCGGCCCTGCGAAGGCCTTCACTGTGCTCCCCAAAGCTTTCTGAGGGGCCCCCCAGAGGCCCCAAGAGGGCACTGGAAATTGTCGCTTCCAACTCCGCCAGGCGGAGGTCAACAAGGGTCTCACTGGTGCACTTCCAGGAATCGTCGTTCGATCCTCTTGGGGCCCTCCTGGGGCCTTCTGGAGCCGTCTTGGAAGCTCCGAGCGGCTCCATGAAGGCGCCGGGCGATATCGCTTCCAATTCCGCCAGGTGGAGTTAGACCAGGGGCTCACTGAGGCCCCTTTTTGCGCCCTCCTCTGCCTTTGAAAAAGCCCCGATGGGGTTCTTCAGTGCCGTCTTAGGGCCCCTAAGAGGCCTCCAGTAGGGTATTGAAGTTATCGCTTCCAACTCCGCCACGCGGAGTTGAACCCAGGGCGGCTCTCTATGGCCCTTTCGGGGCCTTCTTAGAGCTTTTCTGAGGCCCTAAGTGGGCCCTGGGAGGTGTCATTTTCACGGGCGTTGAAAGTGACACCGCGGAGGGCCCTCTTGGGCCCTTCTTGGGGCCTCTCTTGGGTCCCTCTGGGAGCCCTCTTGGTGCCGCCCTGGGGCCTTCTCGGGGCCTTCTTGGAGCCTTTCTGGTGCTCTTTAAGTGGGCCCTGGGAGGTGTCACTTTCACGGGCGCTGAAAGTGACACATCGAAGGGCCCGCTTTCCCTCGTAGCGCTGCCCGTGGCCGGGGCATTGTGCAGCGCATCCCTCGTCGAACGTATTTTGTCGGACGCGTGGTCGAATTCCGCCAGTTCGGTCGAGATGGTGGTCAAGCGGTTCGGTTGCAATGTAGCCATGCGGATCTGAACTTACCATTTCTTGCCATTTTGGCGGGGATCGCAGGAGCGTTTGTGTTGTGATCATTTGTGCTCGATATATCCAGCGGCAGCGTTTCATCCCTATATATTATTTTGAAAAAAGTCAGCAGGGGCCAAATTGCTGATGTGAAGCAACATAGATTAGCACATGGTCCAGAACACTCACAGTAGCAGTGAGTGTTGTTCGTAGCTGCCAACCAAATAATAGATCTGAAGCATCCACGATCCACCAAAGCTATAGGTTGGAGATCTGAAGCCAGCTCTGTAATACACTGAGCCGAGATGAGGTTTCGAAACGGAGGGTCCTGGTCCTGAATGTTTCGCTGCTGACGTCTTGACGCAATCGACAGCCGTCGGTGACCAGGGAAGGTCCCGCAAAGGCTATGGGTTGCTGCTGTCATTCGGAGCTCCACGTATGGCCTCAGTGGGAGGGTCCGCATGGCGGCATCGCTCATTTCGGCCCACCCATCAGATGGTTCGCGGCCCCGTAGGGACCTCCACTTACGACCCCGGTGGGAGGGCCCATGAGGGCTCGCACAGCGGTGCCGCCCAGTTCGGCACACCGCTCACGAGAGTCACGTCCCCACAAAGAGCTTCACGTACGGCCTCAGTGGGAAAGTTAGGGTACGTATGTATGCGTATTTTCGCACAGTTCGGCACCCCTCACACGAGCCCCACCTGCGGCCCCAACGGGAACGTTAACGCGGATTCGCAAACTTCAAGCGTAGTTAGTCTCCTCGGTTCCTCCCTCCACACTTGCACGCTTCGCGTTGCACTGTCTGTTATGTCTCTCCCCTCTTCATCTCCGCAGCCGCGTGGGTCACAGGGGGGACCGCTTGTGGAGGTGGGTCGCCAAAGCTTTGGAGTTGTGGGCCGGTAAAATTCGTTCGCATTGCCTTCACTGCTACGGGGACAATTCAGCTGCGCTCGCTGGGCGCGTCCGAAAGTACAGCAGGCCCCCGCACGTGGCCTGCGTGGCGGGCGCGGTGCACGAGCTATTGTGCCGATGCGACATTCGGCATCGGTTCGAATGCGTGCATTCTGCTTCGAACCCTCTGGACGCGGCGCCACGGGAGGAAACCGAACATGCCCTCGTCACGCTCAGCGCTAAGGTCGTCAAAGTTATGCCCACTCTGACTGTGGACACGTCCAGATGCCATTTTTTCTAGCCGACGTGAAAGCGACGCCCCTGCTCGTTACCGCCGCTGCTGTCGCGGCTGGTGTTTCTGCCGCTGCCGCTGCCGCCTCTTCTGCCTCTTCTGCCGCTGCTAAGGCTGCGGCTGCCTTCTTACTTTTCTTCCCCTTTCTCCGCCTCCGCCTCCTTCCCCCCTCCTTCCTTAGGGGGCCACATGCGAACCCTACCCCTACTCCCCACGATTTCTGAGGGGGAGGGTGGGGTTCACTTCGCTCGGGAGCTCCCGAACGAACCCCACCCTCCCCCTCAGAAGTCGTGGGGGTAGGGGTAGGGTTCGCATGTGGCCCCCTATTCCTTCAAGGGCCGGCAGGCTTTGGCAGGGCACAGTGGGCAACTGCCGCGGCTAGCGTTATGGTCGTCGTCATCGTCGGGGGCGCGGTCGTCGCGGTCGTCGTCGTCGTCGTCGTCGTCGTCGTCGTCGTCGTCGTCGTCGTCGTCGTCGTCGCCGTCGCCGTCGTCGTCGTCGTCGTCCCACCCTGGGGCGGGGGCTGGGCCCAGGGCCGCCGCCGCGTTGGCTCGGGCTCGCCAGCGCGCTCGCCCGCCCGGCGGTCGCAGCGCATGCTTACGCGCCTCCATCGGCGCGCGCCGCGGCGCTCCCCGCTGGGGATCTGGCGCGCACGGCCGAAAGCATCGGCCCGCCTGGCGTCTCAGGCCGCTGCCGCGCTGACATTTCAAGGCGCACCGGTGGGCCATTCAGCTCCGCTGGCTTCTCTGCCCGCCGCGTCGTTTGCGGCGCTGGGGGCAGCCCCGCTGGGCACGCCGGCGCCGCTTCGCCAGGTGACAATGGCAGCGTGATGCAACGCGCAAGGCTGTCCGCGCACTGCCACCGTTCCTCCCCGCGGAGTGCAAGCTACTTCTGCCGGCGCCGCGTGCGCGCGTGGCCCCGCCGAGGCCTGGTCCACGTACTGCGGCGCGCTGGACAGTTCCCGCCGGGCTTTGGGCGGGGACCATGCCGACATGACGACGACGTTCCAGTCGGGACAGAGGGTGCTTTGCTAGGCATTTTGATGGCGCGCCTCCGCGTTAGGTGCTGTTGGCTATGGTGGAAACCTGGGTTCAGGGTGCCAATCTGTTCCGAGTAGCGGACACTTGTGGTCGAAAACCAGCTCCTGTGCAAAACGGTGCCGTCGACGCTCTCGACGTACGCATCGCATTTGCGCATGATTGCGTGGGCGTCTGAGTTTTTGAATGAGCCCCCGTTGGAGTGCAGCGTGCAGCACATTCGTATGGTCGCTGCCTTGTGTGCGTGTGCCGCCACGCAGCGCGGGTGGCTGAGCGCTTCGGCCATGGAGCACCAGGTGGCAGGCGTGCCTTGGCAGGGCGACCACGACGCCATCTTGCGCGGGCTCCGGCTGGGCACGGTCAAGAACAGGAGATCTCGTCTGCCCAGGCAACGCGTGGACAGAACATTGCTGAAAGCCTTGCGACGGCACGCGTTTTCCGCAAGGCCGTGTGCGGCGGTGCCTAAGACTTGCCATCACATTTAATTTTCTGATGCGTACAGTCGGCCCGGATTAGTAAGTCGACCCTGCCAGCTCAAGGGTACCCTTGTGTCTTCTGCCTCGCGACACGTGCCTTCTTACACTCCAATGGCGATGTGGCCGTCGGAAAGGTCTTGTGTTCTCTCGCGTGTCCTGTCCAATCAAGGCCAGCTGTATGCCGTCGGAATTGTTTCGGCAGTATCGGCGCGGTTCGCTACAGTGCTCAGGCAATCGTTTCCTTCGCGGCCCCACTCGGCGTTACCAGCGCCAGGATCTTTGCGCGGCGTTGGCCTTCTGCAACACGGATGAGGCGTTTTGTTTGTGCACGTGGCTGCAGGTGCTTGACGAGACCCCAGCGAGCGCCGGTCCGCCGCTATGGTCCGCTAGTGGGTTTGGCGCCAGTGTCGTGGACCCGCGAGTTTGGCGAACACCTTGCTGCCGTAGGCGTGCCGAGAAGAGTGGTACGACCATGATACCTGGCGAGGCGCTGCCAAGGATGAGTTTGCAGCGTCCAGCGTAGAAACCATGCTGTCGCGGGGTGGGTGTCGTTCCCTTCCTTCGCGCGGGCATATGTGTCGAGCGACGAGGTGGCGGCTGCTTCTCGCACAGGGTATGATTGACGACACTGGCCCGGAGAATTTGGGCACGTTCCTGTGGGGACACGCTTGCCCCCTGCACCGTGGTCCCCCCCCTTTTGTGTTTCGGTGGTATTGGGGCTGGGGGGCGACATCGAGCAGATTGCCTCGCAAATGAAAATATCATGTTCAATGTGGTTCAGGAACAGGAGCGGACGCGGATTCACGAATGCGAAGCGTAGTTCGTCTCCTCGCTTCCCCCCTCCGCAGTTGCACGCTTCGCGTTGCACTGTCATCTATGCCTTTTCATGTTTCCTCTTCGCAGCCGCGTGGGTCACAGGGGGGGCCGCTTGTCCCGCCCTCCCGCCCGCTTTCCTCTCTGGCGCCGCCCTCCCACCATTTGTTTCTTGCGATGTTGTTGGCCGCTTGGCCACAGCATCAGGGCAGCCCTGCTCGCCTGCGTGAGGCGGGCTCGCCCCGCGTCCGTCCGACCTGCCGTCCGCCCCCCGCTTGGGACTTCAGCGCCGCGAATCGATGTGACCGCTGCGTCCTGACAATCCGAGAACCTGCCAAAACACCGTTCTTGGGACCTCAACACCACGAATTATCGTGATTTTGCGTCCTGAGAATCCTAAATCGTGCCTGAACGCCGTTCTGGGAAATTTAACCATGCGAGTCTGTTGTGAGTTTTGAAGACTGCGCGCGGCGTTAAGGCGAGAACCGCACTTGGAAAAGGAACCGCCCACCATCCTCAGAATTGCTGCGAACTTGTAGCACGAGAGTGCGCGGCGCTAATGCGAGAACCACATGTTGAAAACCATCCGACCTCTTTTCGTGAAATGGTTACAAACTTTTCATGCGAATGTACGCGGCGCCAAATGGGAGCCACATATTGAAAACCACCCGCCCTCCATCCTTGAAGCTGTTGCAAACGTTGCAGACGAATGTGCGCGGCGCCAAGGCGAGAGCGACATGTTGGAAATCACCCGCCTTCCATCCGTGAAACTGCTAATTTCAAGCTCCATGATCATAAATGGTGGGGAATGCTGAGGCGAATCGCTCGGCCCGCCCTACCGATGCGTCTGTGGGTGCGACAGGGAAGAGGTGGATACGGAAAAGATGTGGAGGAGGAGGAGAAATGAGGAGGCGGAGCAGGAAGAGAAGGAGGAGGAGGAGGAGGAGGAGGAATGACGAGGAGGAACGACGAGGAGGATTGATGATGAGGAGGAGGAATGAGGAGGAGGAGGAGGAGGAGGAGGAGGAGGAGGAGGAGGAGCAGGAGGAGCAGGAGGAGCAGGAGGAGGAGGAGGAGGAACATCAGGCGTCAAGCTTGCGCTTCACGTCTGGGCAACGTCAAAAAATATGAGTAGGAGGAGCAAGAGGAGGAGGAGGCTGAAGGGGAGGAGGAGGATGAGGGGCTTACCGGTGCTCGGGCCCTTTCCCGCGATGGGCGGCCGCCCGCAGATTCGGCGAGGGAGGAGTGGTGGGCCCGGCCCTGCCGCAGCCTCCGCTGCAGCTCCAACTCGCGGACCCTGACCCCCGATGTCGTGATTTGTTCACAGCGTCGACTCCCGGAGTTTTGGACCCCTTCCCCAGGACCAGTTTTGCACCCTGAGTCGTTTTTGACGGTCCCAGGGCCCGGCAAGGGCCCTTGGAGGCCGCAGATAGCGAAAAGCCTCCCGTCGTGTTTTTTTGTTGTTTCCTCACAGCGCGAGGAGGTCTGGGGATGTCCCTTTGTCTTGGTGGCGGCGCGTGGTGCCGCCCGCAGGAGCGGCTGCGGCGGGAGGAGGCCGCCGCCGCCGAGGGCCTCGGGCGGGACCCGTCCCCGCCAGGCGCCGAGGCTCCTCGCGGGCGCGCCGCAAGGGTGTGGAGGACGATTAATGGAGAGGAAGCATGCTGCCAAATAATTTCCGGATGTCTAAAACGTGTTCCAAGCATGTTTCGAATATGTAAAGACATGTTTGAAACGTGTTTAGAACATGTTTCGCACATTTTAAGCACATCTTCAATTCAATGATCGGATTGTTAGAGTGTCCATTGTCATGGCATCCACAACGCAAGGGCGGGGGGGGGGAGGGTCCGGCTCTGCGGCCTGGGCATGGCCCCCCCCCTCCCCAGGGCTTGTTTCGACTCCTCCGGTTCGATTCGGTTTCGACGGCTTCCGATTCCGATTCGAGTCGACTTCGGATTCCGATTTGGGCTCCGATTTCACAATTGAGGCCTGTACCCTGCAGATTTCCGCCGATTCGACATTCCCCGACTCGGCTGCCGATTTCCGACGATCCTATTCATTTCGATTTCAGATCCGACTTATCGATTCGATTATCTGCTCTCCTGCCTTATCGCTCTCCTTCGTTCAAGCAGGCCTAGGATGACGATGAGACGTTCCGGCAGAGCTCGAAGAAGAAGAAGAAGCCGCAAGTCATAGATTTTCGGAGCTCCGCGCGAAGCTCCGAACGTTTACAATCATGATATTGTTCTTCCTCCAGGGGCGTTCCCGAGCGCCCTCGGAGCGTTGCGGGGCGCTCTGGAACGGCCGCGGCCCCGGCCCGCCGGCTTTCAGACGTTCCCGAGTTACCCTCTCTCGGCGGCGAGCGAGGGGGGAAGAGAGAAGGAGGCCCTCTCGGCCACGAGACGCTGCAGCTGACGTCCGAGACTTACCTTCTGCCCTTGTGCCAGGGCTCGGTCGTGGTGACATCGTATGAGTACGATGAGAAGAAGTCTCAAATCGTCAATTACTCTTCAACTGGGATTGTGAAGTTGCCGACTCCCAGTGCAATATTTCTTGATATCAGTGGGATGGATATCATGATCAATCATGGGGTGAGACTGGTACGTGCTGCGGGCTGTGGCTTCGACTACGTACGATATGGTCTCAAATGTTGTTGTCGATGGCTGGTCCGACACAGAGATTGGAACCGCCTCCAATACGCGCTGCATGGGAATGGAGTTCAGAAGCATGGACTCCAGCTCACCAAGAAGCAGAAGAAGGCCTTGCTGGCACAGCAGGGTAGCCCACTAGCGGCCAAGGTCACGACCCCAGCCCAGATACAGGCTAGGGTGATGGTGGCCCTGGAGTTCGACGGCATGGACAAGCCACAGGCGGTGTACGACCACCTCCGACAGATCGCCACGGCGAACATGACTTAGGTTGCGAAGCTACCGATTCAGGATATCACCGATGTGATCAAGAAGTGGCTGAAGCAACAACCCATGGGCCAAGCAGCTGCACCTCCTCATGCGAGGAATAAGACAGCAGATGGCACCAAATAACAAAATGATTATAATAAAGAAATACTAATATTGATACTAATGATAATATGGTTATCACGCCGACGCCAACATGGGAGCACACGGCCACGTTGGACCCTTCCGACTGGGCCCTCGAGGTCGGGAGAGGCTTCCCTCCGACGACGGCGGCATACGACAAGGTCTACCTCATCATGGCGACGGAGCTGGCTGCTAGGCTACAGGAGGACGCCTGGTGGGCTGGCCCCAACCCGTCGACCCCCTTTCGGGATGATCTTCGCCGAGGACCCCCAGCAGGTCCCGAAGGATCTCATCATGCTAGCAGGCCGCAGGGGCCTTGCGGAGCATCTTGTGCGAACGAATGTACCATTGTTTGGTGATTGGCGGGAGGAGGGTTATCAAACAACTCTTCACCTGGACGTGCGGAGGGACCAACCAAGTGACGGTCGCTCCCAAAAACAAGTCGACGGTCTTCGAGTAGGAAGGCGAGCAGGTCCCTACCCTCATGCATATTGCTATTTTGGAGACGGCCGTGAATGACACGATCTTCCGCGACCTTCTCAAACTTCACGGCCAAGCCCAACGAGCTAGAGACCGGAAAGCAGATGGTGGAAAGAAACGATACGAGACGATCCCGCCTAGGAGAGTCTTAGACGCCGAGTTGTCAGTTGCCCATCATTGCCAAAACAAAAATGTCGAGGCACTGCACCCAGGAGGTTACCGTGTGTTGTGGAAGAGTTCCCAACGAGGAGGTGATCGGCCAGAAGGTCATCAGCGGCCTCTTCAAAGTCGCACCATCAATCGCTACGAGCCTCAGGGCAATATCTGGTATTGATGGCATATTCTTCCAGAGGGCGAGAGTTGGTGATGCGGCAGTCTTGGGGAAGGAGAAGGAGATGGAGGACTTCATCCCGTTTCAGAATGGAACAACAATGACGGACGCTCTGGAGATGACGAAGGATCTCGAGGGCAGTCCGGGCATCGCATACAAAAGCAATGGCGCTACGCTCTTCTTCAGAGTCCTCAAGACTCATGCGAAGGAGACCTGGGCGAAACTTCAGAACAGGGCCCCGCCGATGCCGACGGTTTGGGAGATCTCCCCCCCCTGCATACAAACGTCGACGGGACAGGCCTCTGCGAAGCACTGAAGCGGCAAATTAGATGGGGAGCCGAATCGATCGAGCTGAGGAAGGTAGGAAAAACAAAGAGCAAGGGCAAAACCGAAGTTGTTGGTCAGAGCTCAAGAAGCCCCAAGTGTTATGGATATGTGTGATGGCGGCGTCCAGGCGATCATTAACAAGCAGTTGCCCCCGCGGCCGAAGGCCACGCCCTCGGAGCTCACATGGTCGGAGATGCTCTGCAAGTACACGCCGACGACACAGACGACACCAGCACCGCGAGCACAAACGAGAGCACCGATTGCAGCCAGACTTTCGCCCAGGCTTCACCACCGCGGCGACCTGGAGGGGAAGTCATGCCGGTGGGCCCGCCAACTGCGACTGCAGGGAGTTCTCTCAGCCAAGACTTCAAGCAATTCCTCAGCGACATCGTCGCGCAGGCGATCAGCGCACGCGCGGCGGCTTTGACGACAAAGATGGAAACGCAGAGTGATGACTTAGCTCTACGCCTGTCCACCTTCAGTCTGCATGCCGCTGCCAATCCACGAGAAGATGCCCCACTTCGTCGGGCCGCCAAGGGCCTGAAAGAAAGTGTGGCTGATGATATGACAGTGGGCTCGGAACTATGATGGCGACCGCCCTCGCCGCCATCCTGAGTGCGAGCGTCTCTGCGTGGGCCGGCTTCAAAGACAGACTGGACAACGTCAGAGCTGACGTCATCTGCTTGCAAGAGACTCGTCTTGATAGCACTGGGTACTTAGCTCTCAGCAGCCAAGGCAGCAAGACAGCGTGGTTCTGATGTATTATTGGGCCCTCCGGTTCTACCGCAGAAGGGCAGCGTGGGAAAGTGAGCAGGCATGCGCAGGGAAGTGTTGCCACCCTGGTAAGATCTGAACGTGCTATTGGATTGGAGGCTGGACGTGCATGGGGGGCTGCTCGCGTGCTACATGATACCTCGAAGTGGATGGAAACTGCTCTCCTCTTCGGCGACAAGCCCCTCCATGGTATCAACCTCTACAATGGCGCTGGCGGCCCCCAGTTGCGCCGCGCGCGGAATGCGCGCATCTTGGACTTGCGTTCGAGGACTGCGCTGCATTGGGCGAACAGGAAATCATCATTTGCATGGGCGCCAAAAGATCGATCATCATCGTATATTAAGCGTTATTTGCACACTGGCAAGTGGCATGGCGTAGGTGCCGTCTACGGCTCGGAGCCGACATTCTGTCATGATCCGAATTGGGGACCACGTCTCCCCTGGGCGCGCGCCAGCGAGACCCGACGTAATCATCGTCAATGCTTTGGCCAAATATATGCTTGCATCGTTCGAGCTGACAGGGGGCCTGGGAGTGAAGCAGCACCTGGGGCTTGAGCTCGAGGTGAATATTATTCAGGAGACTCTCCAGCACCTCAGAGCCCGCCCCCCCCCCCCCCCCCCCCCCCCCCCCCCTCCCACGCCCGCCCGCCCTGCGTCTGCCCAGCCAAGATCACCGAGGGCGAGGAGTGCGAGATGGGAAGGATGGCGAGCTACACCCGTGGAGATGCTTGTCATTATGCTATTGCACAGTCTGATGCTAACCTGGCATGGAAGGCTGCAGGCGCAACTGCAGAAGCTAGTCTGGGCAAAAGACTCGAGTTTGCTGGGCCCTTTGGCCGCGGGCATCGCGGGGGGGGGGGGGGGGGGGGCGTCGCCGAAGTTGGACGAGGATGATGTTGCAGCAGACGTGCGCAAGTGCGCGCCAGAGTGTCTCACAACGGTTGGTTTCCGCAAGCGTGAGAACATGAATGGGCGCCTTGCTGAACTGCGATGCCTTGCTGGGAGAGACCTGAATGGCCTGTCCGACCATCTGAAGAGACAGCGTCTCGGGGACAAAGTGCGCCCCCCAGTCAGCCGAGTGCTGCAGATACTTTTTGGGTCTCGTCTCACACCTACCCGAGGATGTTGGCGCGCGACGACGGGGGGGGGAAGTCGAGTTCATGCAGGACGAGCTCTCGGCCAATAAGATGAAATCACGTCTGGCGAGTGGAAAAAGCGCTTGCGCATAAGCCTGTAGCATAAGGGAGATCGGGAGCTCTTCTCATGGAACAAACAAAGACAATGTGCCGCACTGCAATCAGTCAAATCAGCAGACGCGAGGATCTTGATCTCCAGAGTGCAGAGGTGTTGGGGGCCGATATGCAACGGGCAGGAGTTGTGCGATGGGAAAGCCTTTCAAGAAATATACGGCAAGTAACTGCATCAAGAGGGTGGAGCGCGAACCCCCCCTTCTGGGCGCGCAGGCCCTGCGCCGCCAGCTCAGGAAGATGAAGGTTCATCGGGCCCCAGCGTCAGAGGGATGGAGAGTTTCAGAAGTGCGACTTCTACCTGGCAGCATCTTGGACATGTGCGCCATGCTGCTCAATGGGGCCGAAGACGAATGAATCGGATGGCCGAACGTCGTTGCCATGAGCATCACATCTTGCCTGCCGAAGTGGG